CCCCCCCCAAAAAAAAAAATAATATATTTATTTATTTCAGGCCCCTATATGATTTAGTGTTTAGGGTGTAGGGGTTGCTCGCATTGCCGCCCGCTGGTCCCCCTTCCCCTGTAGCTTGCTGAGTCCTGGCATCTGCAAGCCAGTTCACCAGATGGTTGTATGAGTCGCCTTGAGTTGTGGGCTTTGGATACATGTGGAGTGCCTAATAAGACTCGTATGGAGAAGACACCACCGAACACACAGAAAGCAACTTCGAGGGTGTCCCTGTCCCACCGATATGGGGCTCTGGATAATTTGTAGGATCATTGTCTGGGATTCCCTAGGCTAAGTTGTAACACCGACGACAGAGTTCAAGAAACTGCTAAACATCATCTGGGGAAACCGGTGGCCACGTCCCCAAAACTCTGCAACAACCTCCTGCACCAGGGCTCTGGCATACTGCATGTCAGGCATCGTAAGCCGTGCCAGCTTCCCAAAACCCTAAACCTCAACCCACCAAATCCGGACTCCTTGCTTTCTTTTCAAGAAACGACTGCAGATCTCTGAGCAGTGATTCGGTCTAGGGCCGGGCTGCATGTTAGTGGCCATGGTGGCACCAAGCATTTCTAAGTCATCAACACATTGTCCAAAGTTATCAAACTCAAAAATGGTTAGGACAGTATAGGGGCCTTGATAATTGAATAGCGTTTTGGGGTATATTGTACTATATTTTTTATAGATAGATAGAGCCAGGAGCCCTTGAACAATAATGTTGGCAAACTGAAGCTGAGGGTCTGCGGGTGAAGGGGTTCAGACTTCCAAACTCAAGCCTCTGCATCTGAAAGTGTTCGGCAATCCTGTCGCAGACGCTGCAAGGCACAGGACGAGCGAAAGAAGCCGATAACTTGAGAGCAAGCCCAAACCCCGAATCTGTCCTTAGGATCCTTATTACTGTGCTCGGAATACTTGTTAACTGTTAAGGATAGCGACAGGGTATCCCCGAGAAAGCTATACCAGTTGGTCATAGAGCTGGCCGTCCAAATTCAATTTGACGCCTTGGGGCCTTTAGGGTTTAGGATTTAGGGTTGAGGGTTTAGGGTTTAGGGTTGAGGGTAGTATATAGGGTAGTTCTCTAGATTCGGGTGTAGGGTTTAGGGTTTTGGGCAATAAATCACCCTGAACCCCAAAAGGGCTCGGCGGTTGGTGATGTCGTAGACAATCAGCGCCCCAGCGGCCTCGGATGGAGGGAATTGGAGACCCACCGAATTAAGCTCCTAAATCCCTAAACCCTAAATCCTACCATAACCCCAAATAACCTACCTTTTTAAGGACAAATAGAAACCCCGAACCCGAAAACTCAGGCCAACCTCCTCCCTGCAGTCCCCAAGCCCCGAAGCTCACAGCGCGTGGCTTTCGGTTGGGGGGCTTCTCACAACTGTTCACCTTGCAATAGGGTAGTGGTCTAAATTAGGGTCCCCTTTAGGGTCCTTTGTATAAGGGTGCCGTACTATATTGGGGACCTGAAAAGGGGCCCTACTTTAGAAAACTACCCATATGATCTTACAATAGCTAATGTCATGGGTCATAGTTCTGGGATGATAAAGGAGTACAGCGTTTGGGACTGCAAGGGTTGACGGGAGTGCCGGCTGTGAAGTTGAGGGATTATATGCCGGTGCCTCAGCACCGATGGCGAAGATTACAGCAATGAGCACATGCAACCTAAACCCCTAAACCCTAAACCCCTAAACCCTAAACCCTAAACCCCAAACCAGGCACCTCATCTTGAACCGACCACACCCTAAGCTCTCACTCCGAAGCCTTGTGCCATGTTTGAGCTGCCGGCTCCACGGTAGTAGCTCCGGGTCACGGATCTGTAGCGATCCTGCAGAGCTTGCTGGATTTCGGCTTCCAAAGGTTCAAGGCTGTGGAGCCCTGGAAGCCCTAGAGCCCGATAAGCACTGAACCCTACCAATCCTCTAAGCCGCAGAGGCCCGGTTTAGGGTTTAGGGTTTAGGGCCTCCTAAGTCGTTGAGGATTTTGCCTCCGTCTTCGCTGATGCGGTTTAAGCTGTCAAGGTTGGGCTTTGAGCATCACCACGTCGTCTTCGTCATGCACCCCGGCACGTGAGGGTTCGGGAGGAGTAGCTGGGAACACTGCAGTTCGGGCCGTGAAGCCTACGCTATCTCGGGAGGAAAACATGGAGTCTTCACGACCACCTAATGAGGGGCCACAATAATCAGAATAGGTGTTGGGGGGTATACTATACTATACGATAAACATAATAAGGAGCCCCAACCCTGTTCTAATTATTAAGGCCCCTACAGTAGACTCGTAAGCTTGACAGGAAGTGTAGTGGCGTTTCGGTCGGGGTACTTTCGGGTTCTGGCTCGCTGTTGCTTTTCCCACAATGGCTGATTTTTCAGGTAGACGTGGGCAGGTAACTTAGGAGCCTCAATGATTACCTATTGCTACTCCTCAAGGTACCCTGTATAATACTGTTCAGGGTTTAGGGCTTGGGGTTTATAGATACCCCCCCAAACCAGTATTGATTGAGACTGGCCCTCGTCACCCCCAGCTCACATCGCAGAAGCACCATCTGTAACTGTCACGAGCTGCAACACCAGCCCATGAGCGCCGACCACAGCCCCGCCTGACCCGCAGTGTCCCAAATCTGGAGCTTGATGTTTCGACCTCGCCGAGAAGGCTCATCCGTGGTTTGTTCCATGATGGCTTTCCCTCCTCAACAAAGGGAAGCCTGACGGAACAGGATTCAGTGTTCCATATATATATATATATATGCACATGGAACTTCAACAATTAGAACAAGTCTTGGGGATATCATACTGCAAGTACATGGAAACTACGCGGGGACACGAGGAGCAAAACATCGATCCCCTCTGCTAGTCTTTACGTGATCCCCGAATCTTGGTGCTCTGAGGCGCCGGCCTTCTATGTCGACATAAGGCTTTAGGGTTTTAGGGTTTTAGGGTTTTAGGGTTTTAGGGTTTAGGGTTCAGGGCTTTAGGGTTTAGGGTCGAGGGTTTCGGGTTTAGGTGCTGCTTGGTTCACTGACTTGTCCCAGTTTTGAATTCAGCCAGTCATCTTGCTATGATGACACCTACACCTACACCAAACATCCCCCCAACATATACAGCTTTCCGTGGCTTGATCCCGGTTGGCATGGCTTCGGTTGCCAGGCACACTGTCTGAGCTCGTGTTTGCATCGTCATTGTTGAACTATATTGCGAACAACCGAAGCCGCAAAGGCAAAGGGGTAAATCGGCACCTCGCTCATGGCTCTACATATAGGTTTGTGCTTTGATGAAACACGCTGCCACAGGTAAGACTGCTTTGAACCCGCAAATCCCCAAAGCCCTGGAACCGTCTCCGGTTGTGCGGCGCACCTCCCACCGTGATGATCTTGGAGCCAAACCTGCAATTGGCCAACAGCTGAGGGAGAGCAGGATATGTGTCTATGCCGTTCTGCGTGCAGCTGATGGGTCGAGGACGTTTTGCTCTTCATGTCATCCTTTTTGTGGGAGACTGCATCCACTTGAGCGACACTTTCAGGCCCATGCGCGCCCACATTCAGAACATGGGGGCCCAGATAACCTCGTTTTCAACATCAAACTATATGATAAGCACACAAGGATTGTAACGGTGGTGGTGGTGGTGACGGCGGTGATGGTGATGGTGGTGATGGCGCTGGTAGTGGCGGTGGCGGCGGTATTGTTGATGATGGTGGTGGCAGCGGCGATGTTGGTCAGGAATATGATGGATTGCTGTGATACACAGGTTGCTGATACTTATGAGGACAATGGTTGGGATGGTCATGGTGATGTTGGTGGTGGGGATAGTGTCGGAGCGGACGGCTAGGATCTGGCAAGGGCGATTTCACAGGAGAGGACCGTTTGTTTTGATGAGCCCGAAAACGGAGGAGACAGAGCCAGGTCTCAACTATGAATAGCTATGACTATGACTACTTAGCCTCATCAAAAAAGAGTACCGCCTAAACCCCCCAAGAGTAGGTAAAATAATGGATAAAAGGCTATTGTTTTACATACTTTTGGGGTCCAGGCGGTAGTCTTTCCAAGAGCACTTTTTTGCACGAAAGAAAACACACCGGATGACCAGCGCGGCCATCCAAGCCCGTCAAGTGCGTCAGCGCGGTTCATGACTTGCACTGCCAAAGCAATGCCGCGACTTGTGCTGCATATCGGTATGTCGAATGAGGACCTGGACTGCACTCGGTATAGACCTCTGTGAACGACATGCCTCTGTGCATCAACAATCGCAGCACCAGAGACAGCTCCTGGCGTCCATCGCTGAGCAACTCCGCCGACTCCTGTATCCATGCGCGCAGCTTGTCGAGAGAGCTGATTGCCATAATTCTAACAAAGTGATGCTGATGCGGAGGTTCCCAGAGGTCAGTGACAGCTTGCAATGTGTCACCGTTGAGCTCAAACAGTGGAACAAAGCAAGTGCCTTCTTGCCACTCGAAATTCTTGACGGCCCACTCCCGCACCGTAGAGTTTTCCGCAGGACGCGGGCAGCAGATGAGGGGAGACTCATCAGCACCTTCCAAGGACTCCAGGATCTCCCTCAATGCACGCAATGTCGCCCAGTCATGTTCGATCTTCTCCCACCACTCTCGGCAGATAGCTCTTGCAAGGAGCGGCGGTAGATAGCCCACAATGTTCCTTTGGACACTTGTGGGAATGCCCTTGCCCGAGTTGTGCCATGTGCACACATCTGCTCGCATCTGCAGAAGGCCTCAAGCCGGACTTTGGCCCCATAGCAGTCTCTCTCTTTCGCCCTAAATCCGAGGGGCCTCAATATCTGGAGGAGGGCTTGGGCGTATAGTATCGTCTGTTTATCATAAGGAACCCAAAGGTAATCATATCTATAATTCCTCAGGCCCCTGTAGTAGACCTTCACCTCCGGAAGTTCTCAATCCAACGGGCTAAAGCCTGAGACCTAAACCCGAACATGTGGCCTCTGAATACAGGAGGCCTTGATAGTTAAACTGGGGTTCGACGGCATGTTCTACTACAACGATAATGCGAACCCTAAGAAGGAATAACATGGGCAATTGTGGTGTAGGGTTTAGGGTTTAGGGTTTAGGGTCGTCTTTGGTACGCCAATGAAGCATGCAACTGCCGCCTTTCTACCGACCGCTTCGAGCCCAAGACACCAGCAACGAATCATTCATCTTATCCCAAGCCACGGCACCACATCGTCCGTCTTCCCTAAGCCCTAACCCCTGAACCCCTTATAGAACCCCTTCCATGAACCCCTGATATAACCCCTTAAAGAAGGAAACCTAAAACCTAAACCCTAAAACCTCAAGGCCTTAAAGGAACCTCTTGCCGGAACCCCTTAGTTGCCCGGGCTTGAGCTTCGAGGTTTTTCTGCGAGACAGCAGAAACTTCAACCCTGAATCCTGAAGCGCACTTAGTAGAGCCCTGACAAATCCCCGAATAACCCCTAACCACCCCGAAATATAACCCTAAAAGCCTAAGCCCTAAACCCTCAAACCCTAAACCCTTAACCCTAAGCCATAAACCCTCAAACCCTAAACTTCTAAACCCTGAGACCCTGAAACCCCAAAACCGACACCGACGGCTCTGGGGGGCCGGGCTCCACGCCGATGGTGTGGGATGAACCCTTCTTGACTCAGCAGCGAAGGCGCGTGAGTGAGGGTTTAGGGTTTAGGGTT